ACCTCGGGCTTCCTCGGGTCTAGCTCGGGCACACCTCGGGCTTCCTCGGGTCTAGCTCGGGCACACCTCGGGCTTCCTCGGGTCTAGCTCGGGCACACCTCGGGCACATCTCGCCGGGCGAAGGCGCTCGACCCACGGAACCTTCTCGCAACCTTCTCGCAACTTCCCGCAGGCGCTCGACCCGGACCCGCGCCTGTGGCCCTCCGGGCGGGAGGCTTGGTTCTCCTTCCTCTGCATCGTGCTCTGGAACTGCTGCGGGTACGACTCGGCAGGCATGGTGGCGGCCGAAGTGCGCTCGCCTCGCTCCTCCTTCCCGCGCGCGCTGTGGGGCGCGCTCGCCCTCTGGCCGACGCTGCCGCACAGCTTTCTGTTGTCCACCACTCACCGCCGTCTTTGCAGGCGCGTTCGCCCTCTCGACGGCGCTGTACGTGCTGCCACTCGCCGCCGCCCTCGCCACGCTCGACCACTGGGAGCAGTGGGCGCCAGGCACTTACCCGCTGCTCGGCGCGTCGCTGGGTGGAGGTGGGCTCGAGGCTGCGCTGACTGCCGCGTCGGCGGTCTCGATGGCGGGTGTGCTCTTCACGATCCTCTGCACCTCCTCGTGCGCGCGGCGGCGATGGCGACGCTGCGCAGTGATCAATCAGTGATGTATGGAGGAAGCGTTGAACAGGCGCGCGCTGCTGGCGATGGCGACGCTGCGCATGCTGCCGCCCGCGCTGGGCCGGCTCCACCCGCGCTTCGGCACGCCAGCGGCGGCCATCTGCGCCAACGCGTCGCTGGTCGCGCTGGCGACGCTCTGTCACCCTCCGCTCCCACGTTCCTGGACACCACCTGGACAGTGCCTGGACACTTCCTAGGCGACGCTCACCCTCCGCTTCGACGACGCGCTGCAGCTGTCGATGCTCTTCTACTGCGGCTCGGCGGCGCTGCAGTGCGCCGCTTGCGCGCGGCTCCGCTCGATGCACCCGCAGCTGCCGCGACCCTCGCTGCTGCTTCCCACGCCGCTGCTCGGGCTGCCGTGCGCTGTCGCGTGCCTCGTCCTCCTGCTCGCGCCGCGCCGCCTCCTCGCCACCGCCGCCGCCGTCCTGGCTGCTCTCGGCGGCGGGCATGCCGCGCTGTCGGCGCTGACGGTGCGGTGTGCCGGTCTCCGCTCGCGCCACACCGCCGCCCGGCTGGATCGGTCGAGCTCGCGCGGCCTCCCGCGAGGCTTCCCCTCCCTCCTCGACGAGCTCTTCCGCCGGCCCGGGCTGCCGCCGGCGGGGCGGGTGACGGGCTACCTCCGCAACTCGTACGACCGCGTCCCGTACTCGGAGCGCTGCGCCGCGTATGCTCGACCGCTGCGGAGAAAGAGGGCCTCTCTTCACTCCTCCAGCTGCGAGCAGGAGCGCTGCGCCGCGTCACGCATGGTCGACTCCTTCGAGATGGCGGACTTGTCAAGCTCGGCGACCTTCGACGGCGAGCGCGCTCGCGAGAGCCACGCGTGCCGCAGGAGAAGAGGCGCTCCTTCACGCGCGCCGTCGTGGTTTGAACAGGCGACGCCTTCGCCGCCCGCGTGGAGCACGAGCTCGAGACGCGCCGCAGGCCGCTGCGCGCCACTGTCGACACACCTCGCTGCTCGCTGCCGCCGTTGCCGTGTGCGCAGCTGTCGCGCGGAGGCTCCACGGCTGCGGCCGGCGGCGGCGAGGAGGGCAGCAGAGGAGGCGACGACGGCGAGGTGCTGCCTGGGGTGTTGGGCTAGGTGCTGAGCTAGCGAGTCGGTGTGCGTATGATTCAGAGAGAGAGCAAAGTGTGTGATGTCCGGTGAATTATATTTTATACGGCTCTATCAGCCATTTTCCATTCCGGACATCCTTTTTGCCTACCTGAACGTCCTTTCGCCAATTCGCCCGGACGGTGCCGTGGACGATCACCCACTCCCACACCGCCTCACCCGTACTCGAGTCCCTCGACTCTCCGAGACTCCGACTGGGGGGCGACTCCCGCCGCCTCGAGCAGTATCTCGCGAGTGCGAGTCGCGTGCCGCCGGGCCCGGGTCGTAACCCAGATAGCCCACTTCCTTCTCTACGGGTAGCCTGCCTTGCCGCTCATGCGGACGTAGTCGTCGGAGTCGAAGCCCGACCCCTTCTTGGGGCCGCTGCCGACCGAGATGGCTATGGACTGGCGGCCCGTTATCCTGGGGGCGAGGGGCGCGCCCTCTTCCCCCGACCCAGCCTCCGTCCCGGCGAGTTCGTGGAAGGCCAGCGCGCCGAGCAGGATGACGCCCCCCAATATTGTCCACGGCGAGGGGACTTCGCCAAAGGCAAAGAAGACCCACACGGGTGCGAATACCGTCTCGAGCAGCATGATGAGCGCCGTGTCTGCGCCAGAGATGTACCGCGGCGCGATGACGAGCGCGAGGTTGTACATGGTAATTCCGAGTCCGCAGAGCAGCACCCATAGCCAAAAGATAGGCTGGATCCCCTCGAAGGGGTCAGTGATCCCCTGGTCGTACGCAACCTTGTACGAAATACAGCTCGTGATCGCGCCAGAGAGCGTGCCCGTCGCCGTCAGGTCCGTCTCGGGCGACACCTTGCCGAGGTAACGTGCCCACGTGATGAAGAGGGCCATAAACATGCCTGTAAAGAGAGGCCATAGCAGGAGCAGGTTGCTGCCCTTGGTGTCCGCAGCGGCTTCTTCGGCCTCGCCACCGTAGCCGAGCATCACAAGGAGTTGAGGTATCATCACCACCACCATGCTGACTAGGGCGCAGACGATGGTGATGATGGTCTTGCCCGGAAGTTCCTCTCCGAGCACGAACTTGCCCAGCAGCGCCGCCCACACGGGGTTGAGCGAGATTATGAGAAGCGCCATGGCGGGCTCGACCAGCAGCAGCGAGTACACAAAGCCTTGGCTGGACACCATCGCAATCATCGCGGCGACGAGGATCGCCTTATACGATCGCGCCACGCCAGCACAGAGCGGGCCGATCCCGCCAGAGTTGGCGGCGGCAAAGACGAAATTTAGGGTTGCAGTCATGATGAAGCGGAAGAAGGATATGGAGGCTGGCACCCCACCCGCCTGTGCTTGAAACCGGAGCAGCATCGCGTCTGGCGTTGAGCCAAGCATGCCCACCCACGCAATTATGAGCCCAAGCTTGCGCTTGCTCGCATCCGGCGGCGGACCGCCCGCTGGAGCTCCCATGGAGGGCGATAATGCTCGTTCGGCGCGCTGGGGGGACAGCAGCCCGTCGCAGTTCGGGACGGACGTCGCCCACGTTCTCAACAACCCTGATTTGGGTACCCGGAGGTCTGGGTAGAGCTGGACCGGCCGAATGATGTGTTTTAATGATGTATTAGGTATGTTATTGGCAAACCAAGACACAGAGCTCGTGGCGTGAATGCTTTAGCATTCTCGCCCGCTCTGCTGAGGGGAGGGGCAGGACGAGCGGTCGCCTGAGGCGCCTATCTCTATCCACCCTCTCTTGTGGTTGCCAGCGGAGCACGTGGCCAAGGACGACGTTCAGATCGCGCGTCCGCTTGTTTGCGCACCCGCGTGCTCGTCCACGCCACTGTCCTCCCGCCCCCTTTGATCTCTGTCGCTAGAGCTCGACCGGCCGAATGATGTGTTACGAGTAGGTATGTTGTTGGCAAACCAAGACACAGAGCTCACACAGAGCATCACAGCGGGAGGAAAGCGGCGAGTTCCACCGGCGGAATGATGAGTAGCTTTCTGGGAGAGAGAGTGTGTGTCACACCACGCGGAACGCATCTCCATCGCGTCGGTGAACGAACGGGTGAGCGCGCGGGAGGATGGCGCGGTTGGTTGGGTCCGAACCCCTTCCTTCCTTCACCGACGACCGACCGACCGACCGAAGCGATGGATATGCGTTGTGTGTGTCGTGCCTTGCGGGGAGAGCGCGGAGAAGGAGGAACCTCATCGCGCTAGAGCGCACTCATGGAGCGCCGCCACCGCCACCCAGAGCGCTGCGCCTGCGGACAGCGCCAGGCGGATGACGGCTTGCCGCCCACTTGAGCGTTACTGTGCGAGTGGCTGGGTAGGGGTGCCTCGGTAGAGGCTGGCGCCTCAGTGAGCTGCCGAAGGAGCTCACATGCCAAGGTTAAATAAATAAATAAAACGGACACCTCTACTAGGAGATGGGTAAAAAGGAACAGGTCCCCGCCCTGCGGTCTTTGTGCAGGGTTCTTTGTGGGTGTGGTCGGCGACTAGCCGGGGTCGTCCTCCCGATGGGGGACTAGCACTAGCCGTCTTCCACATGGTCCCTCGGGTCCCTGCTGCTCCTAATCTCGTCGTACATCCTCCTGCTGATCTCAGCAACATCCTGCTCCCTCCCTCGTCTCGCCCTGCGCGTCTGCTCCGCCTCCCCGTCGTCCGCCCTGCGTCGTCTGGTGACGGGTCCTCCATAGTCGGTTGAGGTCGCCGCCCTCCTCGTGCCTCTTCCCAACGTTTCCTCGGCGGCCGATGCCGTCTGCTCCGACTCCGCCGTCCCCGGGTCTGCCCTGCCCTCGTCTGCGCTAGCTTCTGTTTCGTCACCACTGATGTCCCTCCTCTTCTTTCTCCTCTTCTTGTATGCTTTGTACATCGCGTCGATTCCTTTTCGCGTGAGCACCAGCCTGAAGCCCGCCCAGCAGCTGAACCGCTCCCTAAGTCGGAGGAGCATCATCAGTCTCACCCACTTCGCTTGCTGCCCACTGTCTCCGCTCCCTCCCGCTTGAGCCACCGTCGCGGTCCTCGTTCGTCCCACTGGCTGCTGGCCTGTCTGCACGTTACCTCCGTTATCCCTCCTCCTCCGCGACTCCCTCAAGGCCGGCCGAGCCTCCTTCCACCCAGTGAAGAGCTTCCTCAGCCACTCGATGTGTTCCTCTCTCTTCATTATGCGCGCCGTAGCCTCATCATTGAGCTGGGTCCACCTCTGCACCGCTCCCGTCGCCGCCTCGGCCACGACTTGCAAGTTCCTCGTGACCCCGGCGCCAAGGTCCCTCCGGCTCTTCTCCGAGAGATCATCTACCAGCGCCGGCAACACCCCCCCGACGGCTGGGGCTAGTGCATCGTACCCGTCCTCATCCAGCACCCTATAGCGTGAGCCCTTCAGCGCAGCGACATGCGCTTTCCTCAGCGTCTTCAGCGTATCCTTGGAGTCGGGTGCCGCCTGGGCTACTATGCCAAGGTTATTGGGTGCGAAAAAATGAAAAAGAATTAAGACACCACCTCTCCCCTTAAAAAATTCCCTGTGTGGTGCGGCGCGGAGGTGTCGCGGCCCGTACCGTCCTCCCATCCCTCCCGTTCCAAGTGCTCTCCAAGTTCCACGCGGCTCGCACACAACGTTCAGTGTGTGCAGCGCCAGCGGCTCTGTTGACTCGCTCTAATGTTAGCTACTGTTGTTGGGGAGCCCCAGCACTGTCGCGGACTCGCGGTGACCGGTGGTTCTGTGAACTGTGATCTGCGTGTGTGCTGGTTGTGTTATACTTGTTCTACCACACGCTCGAGTGCAACACTGCGGTTCAGCTCCCAACGTTAAACAGCTGAGCTCGGCCGGCGCAGTAGACACACAACTCACGCACACTTTGTATCTATTCTAGACTGACACTGTGTCCACGAGATGGGCTCTGTGGGACAAGTTCTGCTCGCAACGCCCCAGAGCCTGGTCGTCTCAATGCGACGACCAAAAAGAGTGCGGAAGGAGCAGCCACGAAGATTGCAACAATCCTGAGCAGCCATGGCAGATAATAGTCGCTCCCGTCGTGCGCAAGGGTGCCGGGGAAAATCTCGCCATAGCCCGCGCGGATCGCCGCCTTGCGCACCGGCTTGTAGTACTGCGGCGCAAAGGGGTTGTGCCCGCTCCAAGGCTTGTCGCCACCCGACCAATGGAGGGCGCAACCCCTTGCGACCTTCCCCGTCCACCAAGCGGCGATCTGCTTTGCCCACACCCGCAGTGGCAGCAGCTCCCCCTGCCCCCAGCTGGTGCCCAAACCGCCCACATTCCAGCAGGAATCGAGCCGCTGAAAGTCGTGCCCAAAGAGCAGCTGCAGCGGCACCTGGCTGCTCGGCGCGGCTCGCATACCGCCTGGGAGCGAGATGCCAGCGTACGAGGCGAGGCCGATCTCCTGAAGCGCAGGCACAAGCGCCTCGACCCGCTGCGTCAGGTTCTGCGCTCGCCACTGCTGGAGGTTGAAGGCGATGAGGCCGGCGTTGAAGGCGTCACCCCGCAGCACTGTGCTCACGTTGAGAACCCCAAGCTTTGACGGGCGGTACCGCGTGATGGTGCGCAGCTCCTTCTTGCGCGCCACGGCAGCAAGCGACTTTGAGCGGTTGGCGCCGACGAAGAGCTTCGAGAGGAGGTCGTGCACATCGGAGCGCACGATGATGTCCGTGTCGAGCCAGAGGACTGAGGAGGCGGCCTCCGGCAGGAGTTCGGGGAGGTAGAAGCGCACCAAGTTCATGGCGCTCGAGTTGCTCAGGTTGTGGAGCAGTGGAAACCGCTCGAGATCGACGACATGGATTGTGATCTCCATTCCGACCCTCCGGATCGCCTCTCTGCTCTGCAGGCTGGGCTCCGCCTCGCAGTAGAAGGCGTGCACATGGATGCAGTGCGGGCTGCGGCTGCTGCTGAAGATCGACCAGACCAGCGGCGCCAGGCCCGGCGTCTGGTGGCTGTCTGCGCCAACTGCGACATGCGAGATGTGCCCACACGACCGCGTTGGTCTGCGGAGACCACCTGTGGACCTGTTCGAGACATCGATGTGCTTGCGGGAAGCATCGGTGTGGCCTCCGCGCGGTTGGGGATGCTTGGAGAAGCTGACTTGGCCGGCGGCCACAACCGCCACCAGCGCAAGCCCCCACGGCATCTCACGGCGGGGCCGGGCGGGCACGCGGGTACTCCGTAGAGCCGCCTGCTTTCGTCCGGGGGGGGGGCGGGCGGCGTTCCTCCTTCCTCCTCCTATAAAATGAACTTGGGCGCACGGGACGCGGCACAAACGGGGCACAAACGCCAGGCTACAAAGACGGGGAGGCACGTAGTCACCTTCCTCCTCCTCCTTCACTCTCCTAGGTAGGTAGGTAGTAAGGTGAAGAACAGCCAGGCTCGGACTGGACACCAACGCGGTATGGGTGGACGCTGGACAGATGATGACGACACGCACGAGCGACACACAGACACAAAAGCTCACAAGACACACAGCCAGCGGGCTGCCACACACCCTGAGTCGGCGTACACATAACTCAAGGCCATATCCTCCCTGTCGCCCCCCCCAGCACTCCACGGTGCCAAGAGTCCAAACAAGGGCACAACAACACAACAGACAACAGGAAGTGACATGCGAGGCTAGAGCAGGCTTGCTCTACCTCCAGCAATCTCTCCGGCCGGCGAGGCACGGACGAGACCGTGTGTGGGGTCTAAGTGAGGTGTCTATGGACGCTCTCCTCACGGGCTAGCTGCCTGCGGCTAGCCCTATCTCGCTATCACAGGCAATGACAATCAAATGGGTGAGTGTTTGCGAGCAGAGGCGCGTGGGCTAAATCTAGGCCGCACATCGTGGCACTATGACGGAGGTAGACGTGCGGCCGCAGCGCACCCGCCGCAGGCTCGGCGGTGCGCGCGTGTTAGCGAGAAAGTTGCGGGTAGAGCCATGCCCGACTTTTCGAAGGCGAGGCCTCTGCGACGAGTGCCAGCCGCGCTGCGGAGCCACGCCCTTCGAGCCGCGTCCCGTCAGCACTGTCCCCGAGTGGTCCCGCCTCGGCGGCACACACTCTCGACCAGGACAGTCCCGCCAACGGAAACGTGTCTCCTCGACGGAAAAATTAGAGACAAAAGAAAAACGCAAGCCTCTCTTTCTCATGACCGATGCGCCTCTCTCCGCTGCCCTGGCCCGGATGGCCTTCACCGGCCAGCCCACCTCCTCCAGCTGCGACGCGCTCACCGCCTCGTCGCACGCCTTCCTCGTCGACGCCTGCATGACCTTCATCCGCACGCTCGGCACCGAGGCGATGCAGGCGGCGGCGCACGCGGGGCGCTCGCAGGCAAACCTGCTCGACCTGCTCGCCGCGCTCGATCTGCTCCGCACCAGCACGCCCCAAGACCTCCTCCGCTTCAGCAGCGTCGCTTCGACGCAGCCGCGATCCGTCGTGCAGACGGCGCCGCCGGCGGGGCTCTGGCCGTCGGTGACGGCGGCGGCCATCGGCCGCGACCGGAGGCACCCGCACATACCCGAGTTCCTGCCCGCGCTGCCCGCGGCGCACACGTACGATCGCGTCGCGCAGAATGTGCGCCGGCCTCGCGACGGAAAGGCGGTGCGCAAGGGCCTGTCGAAGATGAGGCGCGCGGCGCGCGGGCAGGTGACGGCGCTGGCGGCGCCGACGGCGCGGGCGGTGGCGATCGCCGCCGACGCGGAGGCCGCCGCGCTTGGAGACGGAGAGCCACACTCCCCGCAGCCCCGCCGCGCCAGCGCCGCCGCCGCGCCCCCGCCCTCCGTCCCACCTGTGGGCGCGGCGGCGGCGGCGATTAGTGCGGAGCTCGCGCTGCCGTGTGGCGCGGTGGAGGCGGGCGCAGGCGGGCCGCCGCTGCCGCCGCCCGCGGAGGTACCGTCCGGTCGCGCGGGTGCCTTGCTGCAGCTGCTGCACGCACGAGGCTTGGACGAGCCGCACGCGGGTGAGGCATGAGCGTGGGGAGAGGGCGCGACGCCCTACGCCGGGGGGGTGGGGCTGGTCGCAGCTTTATGATAGTTGTCGTGCCCGCGGCCGCGCTTTAGTCTTGTCGTTGCCTCGCTTTAGTCTTGTCATTGTTGCGCACACCCTTTCAAGCATCATTTCCGGACAACTAGTCACTACACGTACACCGGAGCGCGGAGGCGTGTGTGGCCGAACGGAAAACACAGAATAAACGAACCTTTTCGAACGATTAAGCGAACGATGGTCGATGCATTCTGATTCTCTCCAGGTAGGCTTGCCGCTCACTGGCCGAATGCAAGCGCGTCCCACTCGAAGAACGGGGAACGCTGATCACCCGCCAGCCGGCCGCCGCGAGGAGGCGCCGCTTGAGCAGCCGCCAGCCGGTTGGCCCGTTGGGTTTCAGGGTTTGCGCACGCCCCGGCCGTCGGCGGTCGGGCAGCAGGTGAAGTGAAAGGGGCCGTCCACCTCGATCGCGATGCGTGACGAGGGCAGCGCCAGGTCGAGCGAGTGGCCGGTGCGCGGCTTGACATACTCCTCCTCGAAGCCAAAACGGATGGCGGCGAGGGCAGCCGAAACGGAGCGCTGCAGCGCCGAGACCCTCACTCGTGTGTCGTGCATGGCGTCGCAGCAGAGCCGCCGCTCGGACTCGGAGAGAAGGTGCTGCTGCGCGTCTGCGGCGTGTTCCAGGAAGAGCCAGAGCTGCCATTGGTGCAGCTGACAGCGCTCATCGATGCTACAAGTTAACCCGACGGACCCTCCCCAGGGAGCCGCTGACCACGCGCAAGCACTCGTAGAGCGCGTCCGCAGCCACGCCCGCCGTCGCATACGCCCACGCCGTGTTGGCCAGATCCTGAGGGTTGAAGCCGGCCGGCCCGCCGCGCACCGCCGCCTCCGCCACCGCCTCGTAGAGCGCGTCCGCAGCCACGCCCGCGGTCGCAACGCCCACACCGTGTTGGCCATGTCCTGAGGCGTAAAACCGGCCAGCCCGCGCCGCACCGCCGCCTCTGCCACCGCTGCGTAGAGCGCGTCCGCAGCCACGCCCGCCGTCGCATACGCCCACACAGTATTGGCCAGGTTCTGAGGGGTGAAGCCAGCCAGCCCGCCGCGCACCGCCGCCTCCGCCACCGCCTCGTAGAGCGCGTCCGCAGCCACGCCCGCCGTCGCATACGCCCACACAGTGTTGGCCAGTGCCTGAGGCTCAAAGCCAGCCAGCCCGCCGCGCACCGCCGCCTCCGCCACCGCCACGTACAGCGGGTGCACCAGCCTCGATCGCAGGCCGCACTTGGCGACGCCGTGAGCGATGTTCGATGTTCGCCAGGTTGCGTGCTTCGCATGACGAGACGAGGTGAAGCGTGCGCTGCACCAGCCGCTCAATGCTCCTCGTGCCAACGCTCGATGCGATGCTTGCCCGGGCCCAGTTTGTTCCACAGGTTTGCAGCGTGGATGTGTTCAAGCTCGCGCTGTGGGCGGCAGAGAGAGATTAGCACGTCAAGAACAACCCGTCCCTCGGAGACAGCGCCGTCAACAACCGCGAAGCCGCGCGCTTCGTCTCTGCCTCAACGCCTTTCGCCGGCAAGGCCTTCGATGTCCGTGTCGACGGTACGTACGCCACCGCCCTCTCCTCCGACACCCTCCAGGACGAGCTCCAGCGGAAGCTCGGCCTTTGGCTCTCCGTGGCGCTTCCCACCCTTCGGGTCGCGCTCGAGCGGGGCATGTCAGTCGATTTCTTCGGCGACTACCTTTACAACAAGGCCCACCACCGGCGGCCCCACGACGGCGTCCTCGCCGCCTGGGCGGACGCGATGCGCGCCCCGGCCAACGCGCCGGTCGTGCACGGCGACAAGGAGAAACCAGAGCTCACCCGGCAGTACAACGAGGGGTACAAGGTCGACCTCGCGGAACCCCACGCTGGCCCGGGAGGATGCGATGAGGTGAATGAAGTCAAGCTCTGGACGCCCCTCCTCAAGACCTCCTCGGCGGGCGTTGGCAACGCCTCGAGCGGTGGCACGCCCGCCTCCGTTGGCCACTCCTACGCCTTCGGCAACACCGAAGAGAAGGCCCGCCGCCTAAACATGGGCTGCAAGGCGCGCGGGCAACCCGGCCAACCCTTCGACCACAAGAACGGCCACGGCTACGTCAAGGCGCATCGCGGTTTCTACCACGACGCGATCTTTGTCAAGCGCAACAACTTCAACCTGCTGCTCCACGAGACGTTCGGCGGCGGCTTCTCGCCCACCGCCGTTCTCAAGCTGCGCCGCCTCGCGCGCAAAGTCGCGCGCGGCAGCGTCGACCGCACGGCCTACTCGCCCAAGTACTCGCTCTCTTTTATGTCCCACCATGCAGAGCGCATCTCTCTCTCTGTTGTGCGAGGCGTGAACCGCGCCATTCGCTCTCACCTGGCAACCCTGTCTGCACGTCTCGCGCGCGCGTGAACAGGGCTCCAGGCCCCAAATGACGTGTGAGTGTTAGGGTTGTTTGGGCGGCAAAGAGCGCGAGCAATGCGTCAGCGCTGCCAGCATTCGAGATCTGGCCGTTGATCTGCTTAGCATTGAGCTGACCGCCGGCAGCAGAGCTCTGTCGCTCGCCGCGCGATCCCGCACCGCGCATCGGCGGACTCACCGGCGGTCGCTGTGCTGAGGCTGCCCCTCGCCCCCGCCGGCGGTCGCGCCGGTCATGGTCGCGCCTGGGATCGTGGTACCGATCGTCGCGCCGATCGTGCCAGTCGCGCTCGCGCTCGTCTCTGTGTACCGGTCGTCGTAACGCTCGTCGGGCCAACGCTCGCGCTGCTCATCGCGCCGTCGCGGCTCATCACGCTGTCGCGGCTCATCGCGCCGTCGCGGCTCGTCCCTCCATCGCTGCTTGTCGCGTCCGCAGTCGCGCTGACGAGGCTCGCCGCGCCAGTGACGCTCCTGGCCGATCATGTGAGCTGGGTCCTCCTCATATACATATATATCTCTCCGGCCTGCTGCCCCTCCTGCTCCTCGGGAGAGAGAGATTTTTAGCAATACCAAACAACTCTAACACTCACGTTTTGTCTCCTCGGGTCCTTCCGGTTAAGAACTTGGATTCCCCCCCGGGGTGTACCTACATTGTTGGCAAGTCAGGACACAAAGCTCAAAAAATCCCCAAAGCGGCGAGTCGCAATTCCAGGGGTCGTTGTGGCGGGCCACCCTGTCCAGAGAGGCACAGCTGCCAATCTTGGGTCTTTGACGTGAAGATTTTTTCTAAAGTGGCGCAAGCGCGAGCGCGCCGCGCCGCGATGAGTGAAGCCTCCGCGTTCGCGGCCGAAGACAGTCACCCTGCCGTGGCTGATGCGGCCGATGCGGGCGCGGCCGCAGCGGAGGAGGAGCGCGCTCTCCACGTAGCGATCGCTGCGAGCGAGGCGGCACGGCGAGAGGCGGAGGATGCGGCGGCACGGGAGGCGGCCGAGCTGGAGGCGGCGCTGGCAGCGTCGCTGGCGGCGGAGGGCGGCTCCGCCGCCGAAGACGACGAGCTCGCGCAGGCGCTCGCCGCCTCAGCTTCGCTCGCCGCCACGGCGCCGCCAGAGGAGGAGGACGAGGAGATGAAGGCTGTGCTTGCGGCGTCGCTCGCGGCGGCGGAGGAGGAGCGGCGGGTCGACGAGAACATCGAACGCCTCATGGGGACAGGCAGCCTGCCTCCGTGGTGGTGGTGGTGGTGGTGGTGGTGGCGGCGGCGGCGGCGGTGTGGGCGTCACCGTGTGGTGTTGCAGGAGGTCACACGCTGCGGCCCTCGCCTCATCAGGCGGTGGCGGCGATGGCGCCGCGTCCGCCGCCGCATCCTCGGCGTCGACGGACGCGAGCGCCTGCCCGCTCTGCATGGAGACGCTCGATGCGACGGACCGCAACTTTCTGCCCTGTCCGTGCGGCTACCAGGCCCGCTCTTTTTGCTAGAGACAAGCACAGACAGAGCGCCTTGCCGTGACGGCGTGTTCGCCACCGCGTTGACAGGTCTGCCTCTTTTGCTACGGCCGGCTGAAGGAGGACGGCCTGGGCTGCCCCGGCTGCAGAGAGGACTACGGCGAACCGAGGTACAAGCGTGAGCCAAAGCAGAAGCGCGGAGGCAAGCAGCGTGCGACTGCGGCGAGCTAAAATGCCACTTTTTCACACACGCTTTGAGTATGATTTCGCATCTCGAGTGGCGTATGTGCGCCGCGATGTTTCTGATTTCACTGAGCCACAGTGCCGCGTGTGACCTTGCTCTTACATCGTTACGGTCACAAACGCAACTCGGGGTAACACACGCCGGCGGCGGCGCAAACAGGTACACATTGATTCGGGCGGCCGCCGCGCTGCGCGGGACCAGGCTACCCGGTAGTGGCACTAGGCGTAAGCGGACCGGGGAGAAGAGAGAGACGTACGTCGCGCGGCGCGTGCCAGCGGGCACGAATAAATGGGCGTCGCCGACCGACCCCGACCACCCTCGGTGGGGCATGCGCGAGCGCGCGCGAGGGCGTGTGCGGGCCAGCCTACATGGACATGGCTGAGTGGCGTACACCGGCAGGCCGCGTCCTCAGACGGCGTAACCCTGCTGGAGCTTTTGGAAGTAGTCGTAGTAGTAGGTGCCCTTGTGCTCGCGCGCCGTCTCGATGACGCGCTTGAACTCGTCGCGCACCTGCGCCTCGGTGTGGCCGACGTAGAGCCGCTTGCGCAGCCGCGCGAGCACCTTGCGCAGCGGCGTCTGCTGGAAGCAAGGGTACCTCGAGCCGGTGCCCGCGATCTCAACCATCGTGAGGATCACGTCCGCGTGCCGGTGCGCCGCCACCATCGCCTCCACGCAGCCCTGGGCGTACGCCTCGTACCCCGCCGAGCCGACGCCGCCCATCAGCGCGACGTACTCGGCGGTGAGCTTCCACGGAGCTGACTCGATGACGCCGCCGATCTGCTTGCCCGTCGAGTGGCCGAGGCAGAAGCCAAAGTCGATGTGGAAGAAGTGGCCGAGCGAGTCGATCATCAAGTTGCCGTTGTGCCGGTCGCGCAGCAGCAGCAGCCACATGACGACCGAGTATCCCGCCAGCGACTTGATGAAGCGCGACTGCGCCGCGAGGAAGCCGTCGCTGTCGGGCGGCCCGTACCGCTGCACGAAGAGGGCGCGCAGCGAGGTGTACCCCGCCGTCTTCTTGAGCCGGTCGAGGTCCTCCGCCGAGGTGATCGTCTCGATCAGGCCCGTGTCGGGGCCGGTGGCCTGCGGGCGGTGGCGCAGGGGAGGGTTTGGCGGTGCGAGGTGCGGCCGACGCGGCCGAATCGCAGCAATGTGCAGCCGACGTGAGCCGAGAGTGCAGCCGCGGGGTGGCATGGGTGTGGCGAGGGGATGGTGTGGGGATTGTGTGGGCGTGGCGAGGGGCGCCTGGATGTGGTACGGCCGCAGCCACGTGAGCTCGGGCGGGAAGATCTTGACGAAGAGCCGGATCAGCTGCATGATGAAGACCTCCTGACGCAAGTCGTCGTTCGACTTGATGATGAGCGAGGCGAGGCACCAACCGGGCATGCCCGCGCGCTCCGACGTCGCCCGCAGCCGCGCCTCCTTGGCGTCCCACAGCTCCTTCTTCTTCTGCGAAAGCGTCAACGGCGCGCCGCCCTCCGCGCCGCCCTCCGCGCCGGCGGCAGCGTCGCCGGCGGCAGCGTCGCCGGCAGCCGCGTCGACGGCAGGCACCGCTGGCTGGCTGCTGCTCTCGTCCGAGTCGTCGTCGGGCAAGTCTCGGATGGTGCAGCAGTCGGCGACCGAGTAGCGGTGCTGCTGCACCTCGAGCACGGTGAGGATCGGGCAGCGGGCCTGCGGGTTATATATGTATATATGGTGAGGATCGGGCAGCGGGCCTGCGGGTGGGCAGCGGGCCTGCGGGTTTGGGCGGCTCGGTCCGTCGCTGAGAGGGGGGCTGCGGCTCTTGCAGAGGGGCGGAGGGGCGGGGAGGCGGGGAGGCGGGGAGGCGGGGAGGCGGGGAGGCGGAGTGGCAGCGGCGGGCGGCTGGCCGGGGGGGGGGGGGGGGGGGCAACCCCCCCGGGGTGGTTTTTTCCCTTTGTTTTAAAAAAAAAA